AAACTTGCTGACAGTGCACTCTGTTCCCTCACCCAGATCATTGGTGAATGTACTGAATAGTACTGGTCCCAGTACCGACCCCTGAGGGACTCCATTGCACACAGGCCTCCAATAGACTCTGTCCCCTTGACCACAACTCTCTTGACTTCTTTCCTTCAACCAATTCACACCTCACCTCACTACCCAATCATCCAGACCACACTTCCTCAGTTTAGCTGCGAGGATGCTGTGGGAGATGGTGTCAAATGCTTTACTGAAATCAAGATAAACCACATCCACTGCACTGCCATCACCTGTCCAGCTGGTTATGTCTTCATAAAAGGCTATCAGATTGGTCAAACATGACTTCCCCTTGGTGAAGCCATGTTGATGCTTCTAATGACCCTCTTGTCCTTGATATGTCTAGAGACAGCACCAAGGATAAGTTGTTCCATCACTTTTCCAGTGATGGAGGTGAGACGGACTGGTCTGTAGCTATTCGGGTCCTCCTTCTTGCCCTTTTTGAAGACTGGAGTGACATTTGCTTTCCTCCAGTCCTCAGGCACCTCTCCTGTTCCCCATGACTTATCTCCAGCTTGTCTGCAGTGGATTCCCCTCAAGAAAAGGGTTGGAATACCTCTTGAAAGGTGTTTAACTCTTTGTTGCATAAGTAAATGCTTATCCCTTCAAAATCCAAAGAAAAAGGAATAAGCTTGCAAATCAAAACCCTCTACAGTTACCAGGAAGTATAGACTAAATTGAGCTTTTTGGGTCACTGAATAGAGACCCCTGTAACCACGCATATGAAGTATAAATGACATATATTCATGTCATTAAATTTGTTTTCTCTTTATTGTAGTACTCCTCTCCTACAAAAAAACAGGCTGGTGCCCACCAGATTTACTTTCCTAATGAGGAAGACTTGATTCTGAAGGTCAGAAAAGCATATGTAGAAAATTCACAAACAGAAAAAAAATGAAGTTCCACAATTCTGTGATATGCTTCTATTAAAAAAAAAAACAACAAAATCCTTTTGTGCAAAGCATTACATACACTCTTCCTAGTGAATTCACATTACAGCTACATCTGAATACTGGTATGTGTAAGTGAATTTCAGTACATACCTGTTCATGCATTATTTCAGAAAGCTCTTTTGCCATTTCTCTGTAGTTTGCCTTCATTTCTTCTTGATATTCCAACTGATCTTCCTTTATTAGTCGCTCGTTTACACCCAGAGCATGCCCACAAGCTTCAACAAATTGCCTGATTTAGATAAAATAATAAAGAAGATCTCAAGCAGGAGTACAAAATCCAAAAGATTAATTAAATATGTCAGCTTAAAGTATGCTTTTGATGCAGCCAGAACACTACAAAAGTTAAAAACGTTTAAAAAAAAATGCTTATTATAGTAGTCTTGAAAAAAAAAAGTAATTTTTTTCCCCCAAAAAAGCATACCTAAAAACTTCCTTTAGTAGCTTTACTTTATTGTCTGGATATCTTTTGGTGTTTGTGTCATCTAAGAAAGCTCTTGCATATGCTAATGGACCAGCATTAACCTGAAAAGAACAAGAATTATAACATAAAGTCAGTTCTCTGACATATTGTCTTAGCAATAACAGGTACTACAGGTGTCTGCCTGATTTGCTTTTCTTAGGAGAACACATTGATTTCAAAGATCTGGACTTAGGAAATAAGGAAACCTGCTGGAGTTGGAACATAAGAGCAGGAGAGGTCTCTACAGCACTCTGCATGAACAAACTACTTTGATTATGTGGCAAAGTAACAGCCGATATTGCCAATTTGTCATCTTTGTTTATTAAATTAGAGTGGGAAAATGAGGAAAATTAGCTAACTCTACTACTGTTTGGTCTGCTTATCTATCAAACACACTCTTCCAAGATGAAAATTCTGCAATAATTAGCAGAAATTTAATTGCGCTGTTATGGCAGCTACGTGAAAAGTGGATTCAATGACTTCTGACTCACCCCTATTATTCTTTTGTATTAACAGTAAGAGCCCCTCCCTTCTGATCCCAAATACTAGCTTGAGAACTGGCTTATTCTGGAACCTTGGCTTGGGATTTTTTTTTCTTTTCTCTTCAACATTTCAGATGACTGTGTTTACTGTTCCTTTGACTTGAATTAGTTAAAAGTAACAGAGCAGTACTTCTGTCATTGCGCTCTTAAGACTCTTACCATATTGATTTGTACATGCTACAGGTGCTTTATGTGCCCTATTTCGGTGAATCTGATGGTTTCTTTATACATTCAGTTCTTGCTTGCCTTAGGTAAAACAAAATGTTGCACAGTGAGATTTTCTACTATTACCCTCCTCCTATATTTTGGCGCTCCTTCTTCATCTCCATAGGGATCTTATCAAAATGCAAAAGCAATAATGACCATGTTAAACCTACTGTGAGCAGACCTACATCTAGGCAAAATATGCTGATTCATCCTCATGTGGGAAGTCACTGTTTTATGGTAGTTTCAGCTTTACACCAAAACCTGGAGGGGCTCAGACCACCATAGATTCCAGAGATGAATCTTAATTCTTTCATGTAACTGCCCACAATCAGTATTTATACGAAGTACTTTTACTGCTTTCCCTATTCTGGAAATAACTGCAAACAGTCAGCATACTTCTAATTTAGGACATTCTTGAACATACAGAATAGAAACTAATGATAAAACGCTACTTACATAATTTTTCAGGGACAGAAGCAAGTGAAATAGCTGAATGGCAAACTATATGGTCTTACCTGAACACTGACACTTCCCTGTAGCTTCAGTTGCAATTTGATCATATCCACTTCAGCTGAAGAGCAGAGCTGCCTGAGTTCTGCAACTTTTTTACTCATTTCATCAATGGCTACTTCAATGGGGTTTAAATCAGTATGGTGCTGGTACATTACTGGAATGCGCTTTTTCACATACGGGAAACAATGTATAGCTATGGACAGAGACAAGTTTAATATAGTTAGAAAAAAGTTTTTCAATGTTTTGATAGAATTTTATGCTAAAATCTCATTTTCATGTAATTAGTTGCCCAATTTAATAACACATTATATAATTAGAAATACTACAAAATATACAGTGAAACAAAATATTGAAAATGTAAATATGCGTAGCTTTGCATGTGTTACAGCAAAGAAAGATCACTGTCATTACTGCTACTAATGATGACCAAGAAATAAACCATTAGAACTTAATTCATATGAGAACTGTAAAAAGAATTGGTTATCATGCACAGATCTCAAAAAGAAGAACCAAAAATAGCAAAGCTGTATTTTCTATTTCCTCACACGTATTAGCTATGGACAACTGACATTATTAAGTACACTTTGTTTTACCACTATATTCAGACAGTGATAAGGAACTTTACACTTAACAAAGACAAAACACAAAGTCTAAGAACAAGGAAAGCTAGACTCCAGACCCACAATTCCTGATGCTTGAGGAAAAAATATCAAAAAATTATTTGGGGATTATCCCTTGAAGAAACCAATCTGAAAAACCTAGTTTTGGCTAAAACCATGAAAAGTATTTTGGCTGATAGCTATAAAGGACTGTGAGTGAGTGAAATGGAAAAAACCATACAGAATAGAATTAGACCATTTGAATTAACGCTTCCAGTCAAAGCACAATTTGTTATTTCACAAATTCAGATTTACGCATTATACAGAAACATTGTCAAACACACCATAACTTTCGATTATCTCCCTTAAAAGTATAATAAAAAGTTTTGTATCAGTGAACTAACTATCTTTAAAGTCTGAGCCTATGGGAAGATAGCTGGGCACTCTCTCTCCCTTCTAAAGTTAACAAATGAGAAACTAAAGCGCAGTGATTAATCCAAAGTCACAAGGGAACAGAGGATGGAAACCAAACCAAAACCTGCCCTGCAGGCTCTTTTAGTGCTTTTAGCCAAAAGAACCAACGCTGAATTTCATACATCCAAAGACTGGAAGAATGTCGAAAAATGCCATACCCGAACCAGCAAGCCTAATACCACTGTTCTTCAATGTTTCACTGAAAAGAGAGGTGAAGGGCAAAGGGAGAGATGCAGACTTTCCATTATTAAAAAAAAACCCAAAATGATTTAAAAGTGAAAGGCTGTTAGAACATAGTCAAATATGAAATTTTACATTCTTTTTCTAGGGCTTAGGGCGTTAAGAAATCACACCATGATATACCTATTCTCAAATGGCCATTTATAAGTATGTGCATTTCACATTTTTGAGTATTACTTTCAAGTATGTACTAATTTTAAAAGGTTGTTTTAATCTAACAGTATTTTGGTATACTTCGTAATTCTTGTCACCTCCAACAATCACGTATGGAATCTTTTAAAGGATTTTTTTCTGACAAAATACACAACATGAAGAAAAACTAGTATATCAAGAACTATGTATTAAAAAACCCCCAACAAACAAAATAAAAGAACAGTTTTCTTTTAATAGGAAATTTCCATTCAATCAGTACCTGTCAAAATAGTCCGTCGCTTACACTGTTCTTCTACTCCTCCTTGTCTTTTACCAGCTTGAGTAAAAGGCATCTCAAACATAAAGCGTCGAATGTTATGAGTCCTTTCAAAATCTGTTTTTCTTTCTTGCAACTCTTTTTCTTCAAAGTATGGAACTACATGTGTAACTTGAATATATGCATATTTTGAATCTAAATCCTTAGGATTTACCTTAAAAAAATTACAAAAAAAAATCACATAGCTAGATTGTGAAAAAAGCGGATTCAATTGTAGTGACACAACTTTCAGAAATTAAATTTGGTCTCCTAACCTTTACGTTTCTGAAAACACAGGAAATGTTAATGCTCTCACAGGGCTTCTCTGCGTTCAGTTTCTAACTATTAGGAACACAACACAGCTAGATGCATTACAACATGTTGTGGGGTTGGGTTTTTGTTTTGTTTTGTTTTAATACTCATTATTGATAATTGCTGTATGCAGAACTGCAAACAAAAACAGTTATACCCATGATTAACAATGGAAGGCACAGATACAGAAAACCCAGAAACAAATACTTGTACTCCGTGACAGCTGACAGAACAGTAGATTTGAGGTCAAAAATTAATAGTGATTTTAAAAAGTTAATAATTAAAAATAACCTCCTACATCATAAACAGTTCAGACATCACCTTCATAAGACACTACTCCTAACCTGTCTGTCTCAACTCTGACACCCTATGAGGGTCCCAATGAATATACCGGTGGGAGCAGCGCAAATTGAAGCTTCACTATTCAGTTCATTTTGTTTCTAGAACTGAATGAGTAAGAGCCTCATGAACTGGCAGATCTTTAATTTGGTAAAGGCAGCAACTAATCTCCAGTACCAATTGATAAGGCCTCCTAAGTCTTTGCCCAACAGGGTCCCTAAACAGGCCAAGGATTTTTTTTTTTTTTTTTTTGTAAATTCCCCCAACTGCGGGATAAGGAGAGTGCCATAAACCTCTGCATCTTTCTAAAAGTTGTTGCCTACCATTTTAGTCCCATGTCAAATATTCACATTATCTTTGCCTGTCTCTGAGCCATTTCACCTCTATAAACTAAGTGGGAAAACCAACAATGCAAATACACACATGAAATCACCAGGTAAGTCCTGGAGCAAACTGGGAACAGAGCTAAGGTGTCCCTGCTGTTATCCATTTTTATTGGAACATGCTGCTTGATTGTTTTTTGGGTTTTTTTTTTTTTTAAAATTTTTTAAATCTGGTATTTTTTTAAGATTACTGGACTGGAACTGAAGTGGTAATTTATGTACTCATTCTGATACATCTATTAGAAACTGTTCCCTACAAATGCTGACAAACACATGTATTATACTTAATTGTAAAGAATTCAGGAGAGTACACTGGAAGAGCTGTGAAAAACTGAGGTTACAATATAAATCTCTTGCCTTCCATGGCATGAAATCTAGCCCTTGCATAAGCCCTCTTCTCCTTGTAAAGTTCCCATATTGAAAAGCCCACCATTGCTGCACTTTCAGGCTGAGAAGCACAGAACTTTATGACCTTACTGGCAGAATCAAGGAACAGAAAAGACAGGAAATTATAAGAGAAAATCACCATAAAGTTTGAAGCCAAACAGAAGTTAAAAATTGGCTGAGGAAGGAACGAAAGGAATGCAGAGAGGCAGCTTGTGCAGTATGTGTTCTTCTCAGCATATGGGATACTGTAGCCCTTTTCAGTTCACCAGTTGTGGAGCCTTCAATTACAAAGGAAAGCATTTCCTATGACAAGTCTAGATTTAACCAGATGACTCTGTGTGAGTATATTTTTCCTACAGTTTAAGCATTTATAAAATTGAACAGGCTCAGAGACACAGGCAAAGGATAACAAGAACAACTAATACAGAATTAAAATGTTATTTACATATGGTACTTTTCTCAGAAGAGGTGTCTGTTTCTTACTTTAGAAGTTTGGACTCTGATCTCAAGGTGCAGAAAAGGGAAAAACTTCCAAAGAATGTGCATGAACCGGCAAGAAATACAGCTGAAGTTAACACAGAATATGACCATAACGTATATTTGTTCTAAGATACAATTATTATTTTGAGAGGTAACACTATGGAAATGAAGCTTTTTTGTTGTTCTTAAATGCAAACTTAATAGGAGATGCTCTTCAGCCAATAGAGTTTTTAGACACATATATTTGTGTGCCAAATGAGTAACAGACAGCGACCCCACAGTATTTCAAGTGGATTAGTGGAAGTAATACATTAGAATTTTTTAAGAGAGAATAAAGATCATACTTTGCCAGAATCCTGAATCATTTTGACATTTTCAGATCCAAATTTGTCAGAGTAGAGTTTTTGGAGTCTTTGGGAAATTTCTGAGAGAGGCGTGAGTTTAGGCTCTTTATAGATATATTCCTTTCCATCTTCATCCTCAAAGAATCCCTGTAAAAAACGAAGTAGTCAAAATCTTGGGAAAAAAATCACATAGGGCAATGATTAAGATGAATATAATGTGCGTGGTTCAAAGCAAATATAAACATTTAACATCAGGATTCAAGCAAACATAAATAAAGAGAAATTAAAATCTGAAGTAAAAAAGGCTTTCTAAGATAATAAAAATAACAGAAAAATGTAATTATCTACTACGGAATGAATGAAAGATAATGGAAACACACAGTTAAAATTTTAAAGGTTTGTTGTAATTTTATGGTGCACCAAGCCTTTGAGAGAACTTTTCTTCACTTTTATTTAAAAGTGAACTTTCAGCACTGTTTCACTTGCCAAAACAGAAATCTTGTTGCCCAACAGGACTACCTGATTCACAAGTGAGTATTTTGTCAATGGTTTACATAAAAATAATCTGAAAAAA